GAGACAGAAAGCAAGAAATCACCTCCCCCAGGGGGGATGGCCACGCCACAATCCCTTCTCCTCCATTCTCTTCTTGGAATCTTGGGCACACACGCACACGCACCCAGCGTGAGTTTTAAGTCACCGGGCCTGGGACTCTAACCAGTCAACTACATGGGAATCCAGCAACACAGCCACTACACCAGTTTCTGGTCCCTAAAATAATTCTTAAAGATAAAAGAAAAACACATTGAGTCATATGCTTGCGTTCCCCAAATCCCAATAGGATGGAGAAATGAAGGGATAGCAGTGTGACAACATCCCATTGGGGGTGCTTTCTCCACCTGACTCTGCCTATCTCTTAAACTCACGCGCCTGGCGTGAGTTTAAGCCACTGGGTCCGGGACTCAAACTGCAGTCTACTACATGGGAGTTCAGTGACATAGCCATTATGCTAACTGCTGGTCCCAAGACACAGTACTTTTAAAACCAAAGTTTGAAATTAAATTAGAGATTAAATTGTATTAGCTTTAAAGATTTTTTTGAGTAGCTAGAAATTTCACCAGTCACCATACTGCAAGCTCTTGTTCACTGAGAACTAAGTAGAAATGGTTAGCATGTGTGTGTGCACTCACACACACACACACAGTACAACACAGTGATGAAGACTCAAATCACAGTATGTGAGTCACTATCCTCTACATCACCCATAAATCTGCCCAGCCCTACCCAGGGGATTGTTTTTCCCACCTCTGAACTCCAGCCTTTTGCATCTTCCCCCTTCAGCATTTGCTGTACATTTTATGATACTTTGCATGCTAGCCACTTTCTGGGCTAGCCAGTGGCGTGACAGTTAAGGTGGAAGGATCCCACATAGCCAACATCCTGGTTCAAATCCTGAACCCCCAAAACACCCAGGAACATGTGGCTGGGTGTCCAATATCCCAAAAGAAGGGATTGTGGCATGGCCATTCCCTCTAAGGGGTACTTTCTCAATTTCCCACTCTTTCTCCGACTCTGGCAAGTGCACACTCCCTATAACAACAACAAAAAAAAATTTTAAGTATCATTTTATCATACTTTAATGTAAACCCCTCTGTCTCTCTACATCAAGTGCACATGCACTATAGCAATTTTTAAAGTATAATTTTATCATACTTGAATGTAAATCTGCTTTCCTGTGTGAGCAGGGACTGCATCTGTCCACTGAATCACCGGATCTGGCAGAGTGTCTAGCACATAGCAGGCAAAGCAAGAGTTACTGCGTGAACCACTACCACCGTCCAAACAATAGCTGTCATTTCCAGAACACACTTCCCTGTGCTAAGGCGGCTTACCTAATTACCCTGGAGGCTTTCCTAGGCCAGACCACATCACTCTCTAGCACAAAACCTTATTTTATTTCTCTGAAAAAGAACTGTTGCTCTTTAATATATTCTTGTTTAAGAGTGTGCTTATTATCTGTCATCTGTCACTCTCCAATAGAAAATTCCAAGAAGAAAGGCATCCTCATGAGGAAAATACATGAATCTAAACCCCTCAGCTCCCTGAGTGACAGAGTGGAACTGCGCACAGTAGGTTTCAATAAGTATTTAAAATTTATATTCAGATTTCAGAATACCTGTGTTGACTCTTTTATGGTTCATAATACACTGGAGTGCAGTGGGGGAACTGATTAAAAATAAGTCTGGTTAAATTACCCCGGCACTGACATTGGTACGGGAATTTTTGCTGCAATAAGAAAGCCACTTCCTCTGACATAAGGTCCCTCACGTCTGCGTCTTGCCACATCCTCTGATAGGTCGTCATGGCAAGGCTGGCTGGGGCAGTCAGGACTTCAGGCATTCACACTAAAGAAAGGGTGGGAGGCGAGGGGTTGGCCGCGAGTGGGCGTGCAGAAGGGACTGTGCGCAACAGTGCAGCTCCCCGGGCGGCTGCGCTAGGCTGCTGGAGCCTGCTGACCCTATGATTCTCCACCTTGGGGCTCTCCTTGCTACAGCGTTCCGCTTCCTTTCACCCCCAAAGCGTGTACGCTCTGCCAGTCAACCTTGCGCACCCTGAGTCTCAGGGGCCGACCTTTCTGAGCCTCACGGCGCTGGGGGACAGAATAGCACTAGTCCTCCCAGATCCCTTAGGTCAGAGGCCTGGCAGTGCCCAGGGCTTTCCGTGGTCTTGCTGGAGTCACGCTCTCTGCCCTGCCCCTCGCCCCCTCCCGCCGCTGAGATTGGAGAACAGCTAAATAAACCACACACAGCCAGCTGATTTGTCCAGGACAATCGAGTGGGTAAAAGAAAATCTCGGTCGCCAGAGCCAGCCGGCTGGAGCGGCCGCAGCTGCGCCTCCGCATCCTCGCAGGGTATCGCTGCCGCCATGCCCGGAGGACTCCTTCTCGGGGAGGAGGCCCCCAACTTCAAGGCCAATACCACCGTCGGCCGCATCCGTTTCCACGACTTTCTGGGAGACTCAGCCCCTCTCTCCAGCGCGCTTGCCCCGGTAATTCTGTCGCCAGAGCCAGCCGGCTGGAGCTGCCGCAGCTGCGCCTCCGCATCCTCGCGCGTCATCGCTGCCGCCATGCCCGGAGGACTCCTTCTCGGGGAGGAGGCCCCCAACTTCAAGGCCAATACCACCGTCGGCCGCATCCGTTTCCACGACTTTCTGGGAGACTCGTAAGTAGCCCCCCGTAGTACAGTCCTGGCCGCGAGTCCGCCGGACCCCGTGCTGGCCTCCCTGTCCTTCCTCCCTGCGTCCCCCACCGGTTCCCGCACGTGCCTCCCTCGGTTTGGCCTCTGGCCAAGGCCTGCCTGTGCCGGCCTCTTCCCTTCTCGGCCCCTGGCCCCGGCGTGTTTAGGCTGGCGTCGCGAGCGGGTTGGGGGAACAAAAGCGGGTCCTGCAGGTCCTGAGGAGTGGAGGCCGGTGAGGCGGAGGATTATTCCGTGTTGAACTCGTGAACTGTGCGAATAGCGTGATCGGGCCGAGGCCGGTGGGGGCAGGGGCGGGCGGCACTGTCGGTCACTCCCCGGGACTCGTGCCCGGGGTCGCACCGCCCTCGTTCGGTTCTGGAATTTGCTCCCTGTGGAAGATAGGTGTCTAAGGCCAAAGTCGGAGGACGCAGCTGCTGGCTGCAGGTTAGGGGAGGGTTCTGCTGGCTGCAGTGGCGGGTGCAGGCGTCCGAACACAGAACGTGCAAATTGAAAACCAGCAGCTGCCAAGTGGACGAAATACTTTATGTCCAGAGCCTGCTCCAGTGGCCAAAATACGATGAGATAATAGATTTGGGAGGAACCAAGAATGCTCTGTGGAACTGTGTCTTTTTATTCCAGAACTTGCAACATTTGGAGGGAAGGGCTTTCCTAGCTTGCAGGGTTGCGGTGACCTATTCTCGCCAGCGCAAATGGCCGGATGGTCCAGACACATACCTCCTCATTGTGCCACCCTTTTGTTTTCCTGCTGGGCCCCTCTCTGCCCTTCCCTCCCCTGCATAGCTTCCAGCATGATGGCCAAATTGGTGACCCATAACTGGCCTGGCAGTTATAACATTATGACTAGGAGTAAATTGGTGTCGCCCTGGTTGTACAGATTAATCAGTTTTCCAGACATATTAGGGTCCTGGAACTCAGTGGCCCCACTATACTATGGTGCTTCAAGACTTGACAATTCCTCCTAGTTTTGTGGGGTTTTTATATATCCCAGGGAGAGAGATTGAAATTATGAAATTAATCAGTCATTGGACAGGACTAGGTAGAGAACCTGGGAGAGATTCTGATATATCAGTTCTACCCAAATCCTTACAATATCCCTTAAGGGGATTTACTAGACACTAATTAAGTAAAAAGTAGGGTTTGTGAAAGGACTAGTCTAGGAAAAAGGTGAGAAATGAAACATTCAGTACTAGAAGGTGGTAAAGATTGCAAAAACAGATTATAGCCAGTCTCATATTCAGAATCTAGGTAGTATTTCTCCAAAATTTCTTTGGATTTTCAGAGTGCATTCCCTCCCTTTTCTACCGACAGCCCTCACTCCATGAACATAAAATCTTACGGGAACTCTTAGCTTGTATGGATTAAAGATAAATATTAACATAAAGCATATTTACTGTAGCAATAATAAATAATGTCACTATTTAAGCTAACCATACATTTTAGTATCTTATTATTTATTGGCCTCTGGATCAATATAGGTTTGATTAAAAGTGGTATCTTCTTGGGGAGCCACCAATAGGAAGATAGAAAAAAAAAAATCTGCATCTATCGGATTGTCGGAAAAGTCATGATGTATATTTCTTTAGGTTTTTTCTATGCAAAAATGCATCATGACTTTTCCAATAGCCCAACATAAGCAAATAATACACAGATCTGCCTGAAGTTAGGCATAGTATTCCCCATTCTTCCTAGAAAACAATGAGAAAAAATTTGAGCCCTTTATGTTATTATAATCCGGGATTTCTGCCTAATTTTTCCAACTCCATTCTGTATATGATCTCAGATCAGATTGTTAATTTTTCTTGAGTTTTTTTTTTTCTTCCTATAGGGCATGTGCGTTCTCTGGAAAGAGAGTAACAGAGACAGAAAGAGAGAAATCACTCCCAGGGGGATGGCCACGCCTCAGTCCTTTCTCATCCATTTTCTCTCAGGGATTTTGGTCATTCACGAACATGCACCCTGCACCCCGCACCCCAGTGGCCAGGTCAGGACTAGAACAGCAGTAGACTATGTGGGAGTCCAGCGATATAACCACTACGCCAACCACTGGTCCCCAGATTGTTTATTTTTGATACACATTATTTTTCAGAGAAAAAAATAAGTTCACACACATTACAGGTATGGACCCTACCTTTGATGATTAGAAAAACTATAGGGGTTTGGATGCTAACATTTGGTGAGTTTTTGAGCCTCATCACTATTTCTGTGTGTATGAGAGAAGCAGCTTCTTCATACTATATCTTCTCTAAACAAACCCTGTGTTTTTGGGGCTTAGTAAATGGGGACTGTTCTTTTAAAGTAAGAAACCTTTGTCTTTTGAAAATGAGGAAGGAAGGAAATGGGATAATGTAATTGAATTACTCTTAAGAGCAGCAGTAGGGAAACTGAAGAGAGGAAGGCAAGCCAACATAAGCCATTTCTAGCCATGTGGTAAACTGAAGTGTAGCTTCTGGGAGGGGAGGATGTGAAATGGCTTAAAACCAGTTTTTTAGCATGATTCAGCAAAACAGTCTCTAGTGACTTGAAATGGGAAAAGAACTAACTTGTGTCATTCATCACCCCTTTAACAATACAGGAAGAAATGTCCTGTTCCATTTCTTCAACTTTTGAAGATTTTCTCCTTAATCTTATCTACCCTTGTATAAGTCCTTGTCTAAGGAATCTAAGGCCTAGGTTTTACTCATAGCTGTATTTAATCCAGAAGATACCTACTTCTTGTTGCCCTCTGTAAAAAAAAAAAAAAAAAAAAAAAGAAAGAAAAAAGAAAGAAAGAAAAGAAAAGAAAAGAAAAGAAAACTTACCACACTCCTCCACAGTCTTAAAAAACATGTTTCTTCGCAGTCCTGACATTGGCCTTCCATCCTTTGGTAAGAATGTCTTTTCCTTTCCTGAGCTTTGGGCAGTGAATGTCAGATGCAGGTGAGAAGAAGGTGTCTTGTCTTGCTTGTTCTTTGTGCTTAGGGAAACTTGGCAAAACATTAGAGAGAGTAGCTTAACAGGTAGGCCAGATATACAAATCCACTTGTTTAGGATCCTGCCTTGATCATTTAAGTTATAGAGAGCATGAAGAACTGAGTGTAAACATTCCATTTTCAGTTTAGAGCAATGACTGTCGCCAAAGAGAAGGAAATGTTACTTCAAAGATTCTTGATGGGGCCAGCAGTTAGCGTAATGACTATGTCGCTGGACTCCCATGTAGTCGACCACAGTTCACGTCCCGGACCCGGTGGCTTGAAACTCACACCGGGCACGTGTGCGTTCGTGCCCAGGATCCCAAGAGGAGAATGGAGGGGAAGGGATTGTGGTGTGGCCATCCCCCCTGGGGGGTGATTTCTCACTTTCTGTCTCTCTGTCTGTCTCTGTCTGTCTGGCGAGCACACGCGCCCTGTAGCAAAAACCTCTCCAAAAAAAAAAAAAAGATTCTTGGTGACTCAGTTTGAAACATGCTCAAAATCTATACATGTTTAACCTTACACAATGATAATCTGGATATTCATATTTACCTAAGAATCTGTAGCTGTAGAAATCTACATCGCAGTCTGTCAGTTTTCTACCTGCTTCATCTGAAGCAAGAAGAAAAAGAAAGGCAAGCAAGGACATACATAAACTGCTGAAGTGCTATTGTTCTGCCAGGGTACAAATGTGGGTGTCCTGTTTGGCAGGTTAGATCTGGAAAATAGTTTTACAAAAGGGTTTGTATCCACTCCTTCAAAGAAGCCAAGTGTCAGCTTTAATTTTACATATCAATAGAGGAAAGGAGCCATTTATTTCTTATTACATAATCGGCTTATTATTGTGGTCAGGCATTTGTGTGGATTCAGGGCATATTGGGGCATCCATTATTGGAGCTGAATGTCAGGGTGTTGTGCTAGAAAAGAACATAGAAAAGGTTAAGAAGAAACAAAAAAGCTATTTCAATAAGCCACTTGGCTTGAGTCACACCAAATTTATTAGCTAAAATTTATTATCAGGGTGGTTCCATAATTATTAAAGAAGACAGCACCCTAAATGAGTCTTAAGACTTAAGAATATTTATGATTTTTGAATTTCATATCTGTTAAGGTAGTCTTGGGAACATAGGCTTTTCTGGAGATAAAAAGATTGAAAAAGTATCCCTCAACAAAAGTTTTCAATTTAAATGTCTTTATAACCATTCTTTTAAAAAGGAAAGCTCATCTCGATCCAGAAATCATGGCTTTTCATTCTGCATGATGTTGGTGATTCTTTTCTTTTCTTTTAACTACAGAGTATGTTCAGTGGGAACCAGCAGTTAGCGTAATGGCTATGTCGCTAGACTCCCACGTAGTCGACCGTGGTTTGTGTCCCGGACCCAGTGGCTTAAAACTCACGCCGGGCGCGTGTGCGTGCATGCCCAAGATCCCAAGAGGAGAATGGAGGAGAAGGGATTGCGGCGTGACCATCCCCCCTGGGGGGTGATTTCTTGCTTTCTGTCTCTATGTCTCTCTCTGTCTGTCTGGCGAGCGCACGCGCCCTACAGTGAAAATCTCTCCAAAAAAAAAAAAAAAAAAAGAAAGAAAAGAGTAAGTTCAGTCACCTTCAAGAAAGAAAGTGAGAAATCACCACCATCACCCCACCCCCCAGAGAGGGTGGTCATATTGCAGTCTCTTCTTCATTTTTCTCTTGGGATTTGGGGCACCTGGCATGTTTTTTGAACTGCAGGCCTGAAACTTGAACTCTGAAGCCAACCATGTGGGATCCAGCTGCCTTAACTTCCACACCATTTGTTAGCCCTTGGTAATTCCTCTTCATTCAGAGTGACTTTCTCCTTCCTCTCAGATGGGGCATTCTCTTCTCCCACCCTCGAGACTTTACCCCTGTGTGCACCACGGAACTTGGCGGAGCGGCAAAGCTGGCACCAGAATTTGCCAAGAGGAATGTTAAGTTGATTGCACTTTCAATAGACAGTGTTGAAGACCATCTCGCCTGGAGCAAGGTATAGTACCAACTGAGAAGTGCTTAGAGCCCTAGTTTAAGGATGTTAACCTATAAAGAAGACTGAGGTGGGAACAGCAGATGACGTAATGATTAGATCATTGGACTCCCATATAGTTGTCTGCAGTTCAGTCCCAGATCTAGTGGCTTAAAATTCACACCAGGTGTGTGTGCATGCATGCCCAAAATCCCGAGAAAAGAATGGAGGAGAAGGGATTGCAGCATGTCCATCTCCCTGGGGAGTGATCTCTCACTTTCTGTCTCTGTCTCTGGTGAGCACAAGCACCCTATCGCAAAAATCTCTAAAGAAAAGAAAAGAAAAGGCTGAGGCATAATGAGTGAACTAAAAGTGATTTGTTTGAGCTAGAGTTATGGATAAATCTGGGTAACATAGACTCCTGGTTGCCCAGAAATGCACTCACTGAAATGTAGCTGAGACGACTGGTTTATATAACAGTGAAAGGCAAGAAGAAGGGAGATTACAAATTGTGAGAAGAGCCGGGCACATGTGCGTGCATGCCCAAGATCCCAAGAGGAGAATGGAGGAGAAGGGATTGCGGCGTGACCATCCCCCGCGGGGGGTGATTTCTTGCTTTCTGCCTCTGTGTCTCTCTCTGTTTGTCTGGCGAGCACACACGCCCAATAGCAAAAACCTCTCCAAAAAAAAAACAAATTGTGAGAAGAAACATTGAGCAGATAGAGAATGTAAAGTTCTCTATTTAAAATGATGCATATGGTAATATCTCTGATTTGATTGTCACGTCTTGCATGTATACTTTGAAAAACCATGTTGTGTGCTATAGAAATGTACAATGATTGAATATAAATGAATCAACATAAATTTTTTTTTAATAATCGGGAAAAAAAGAGTTTACATTGGTCCATTTAAAATAATGTAGACAACTGATTACTTTACCTTTGTTTTACTTTATGAACTAGAGAACGCTGGTTGAAGAAAGGGCTGGGGTCACACTATAAATCTATAATCCTTTGCAGCATTACCGTTTGTTCACTGTAAACTAAAACCTACCTTTTGGCCAGTAACCATGGTGGGTGTGGGGCAAAACCAAACTCTCAGCCTCATGTTTTACTGAAGCCTTTAAAATTTGAATAGACTAGGACCATCAGTTGGCGTAATGGCTACATCGCTGGACTCCCATGTAGTCGACCACAGTTCAAGTCCCGGACCCAGTGGCTTAAATTCACACTGGGTGCGTGGGCGTGTGTGCCCAAGATCCCGAGAGGAGAATGGAGGAGAAGGGATTGCGACGTGGCCATCCCTCATGGGGGATGGCTTTCTGTCGCTTATTTTTTCAATTTCTCTTTTCTATTTTTTTCCTTGGTGAAACTCACATCTTTAAATACCATCTGTTCACTGTGGTTCTCAAATTTCCAGCTAGGGGGCCAGAGGAGATGTAGTGTTTAAAGTGCTGAACTCTCATATGGCCAGCCATCATTCAAGTCGTAGACCTGGCAACTTGAAACTCACACTGGACACCTATACATGTGTGCCCAGAACACCTGGAGGAGAAGGGATTGTAGTGTGGGGTAGATTTCTGACTCTCTCTCTCTCTTTCTCTCTCTCTCTCTCTCTCTCTCTTTCTGGTGAGTGCATGTGCCCTATAGTAAAAAGATCTCCAAAAAAAAACCTCTCTTAAAAAAAAGTCCATCTCTAAACCAGACTCCCTGGAAGCCAGGGGAGGTATAGAATTTACCTGATATAACTGCTGCCTATAGTCATCTTCAAACCTGTCATACCTAAAACGACCCCATCCTAAATCCAAGGTTTTATTCATGTCAGCTAACAGCAACCACATTATTGTCATTGCTCAGGCCAAAAATCCAGGAGCTATTCTTAACTCCTTTTGCCTTTTCCTATTACATGTCTAATTTATCCACAGACTTGAAGATAAACTTGAGGGCTCTACTTTCAAATTATATCCAGATTCACATTTGGTAGACTTATTCCTCAGGGACCTCTGCAGCTTGTCCTCACCTCTTTTTCAGGGCTCAACTCCAATAGCACCTCTTTAAAGCCCTTCTGGGCCTCCTATTCTAAAATGATAACCCCTCTTTCACATTCCCTGTCCCCTTCTCCTTAGCAGTTGTTACACCTAAAATACTCTGCACTTTGCTTATTTAGTTTGTTTCTCTCAACTAGAGTGTAAGTTCAGTAGAGGTAAATTTTGTGCACAATTTAGGTACTCAGTACATCTTAGGCAGTCAGTCAGTATTTGTTGGATGAACGAATTAAAGGAATTGCCTATTTTCAGCAAAAAGATTCAGTTGGATAATAAACTCAAGTGGTTTAAACTTAAAAACATTTTAAGCACATTACTACAGTGTGCTACTAAATAATAATGACAACTGCCATTCAAGGAATGCTTACTGAGTACTAGACTCCGTGTCAGGCATATATAACTGAATAAAAGATCGTGCTGACTTGTGAGCTGATGAGCTGGGGCTGAATCCCATGGCCATTTATATCAGTTAATCTGCGTGAGATTGGAAGAATCATGTCTAAGAGAATAGGAGGGGCAGCAGTTATCGTCCTTGAGTTAGATTTTTTTTTTTTTCCATTTTTTAACAGTGAGTAGTAACTGGCATTTTTGCAGCATTCTTGGGCAGTTTCTCATTAGATTCTAGCTGATGCCTTTAAGGTAATGTATGGTTTCTACTCTCATTTTTATAGACGAGAATACTTTTCACTCAGTTTGAGTAACTTGTTAAAGATTGTCCGTCTAGAAAATAACGGCAGGACCAGCAGGTGGCATAATGGTTACGTCGCTGAACTCCCACATAGTCTACCGTGCTTCAAGTCCTGGACCCAGCGGCTTAAAGGGATTGCAGTGTGGCCATCTTCCCAGGGGATGATTTCTCACTTTCTTCCCTCCTGCGAGCACATGTGCCCTATAGCAAAAATCTCTCAAAAAAAAAAAAAAAAAGGCAATGTGATTTGAACCTCAAACTGATGTTCCTTTGTTTTGTTTTTGAGAGGTTTCTGCGCTCAACAGAAAGACAGAGACAGAGAGATAGAAAGCGAGAAATCACCCCCGCCCAGGGGAGATGGCCATGCCGCAATCCCTTCTCCTCCATTCTCTTCTCGGGATTTTGAACACACACGCACATGCACCCGGCGTGAGTTTAAGCCACTGGGTCCAGGACTCAAACCGCGGTCAGCTATGTGGGAGTTCAGCAACATAGCCATTATGCTAACTGATGGTCCCGAACTGATGTTCTTTTTTTATACTAAATGAAAGAGAGTAGGAATTAGCCTGATTTAGTATAGAATGATGCCAAAACATGTGATTCTTTGGTGTTCATTATTGTAGCATAATCCCTATCACGCAAGTGGAAGAATGGAGAATTAGTGAATAGCAGTAACTAAAAAGACAGATAACTGAAGGAAGAGGCTATAGCCTATTATATAACCTCTCTCTCTCTTTTTTTTTTTTTTTTAGATTTTTTTGTTTTGTTTTTTGAGAGGATTTTGCTCCTCCATTCTCCTTTCGGGATCTTGGGCACGCATGCACATGTGCCCGGTGTGAGTTTAAGCCACTGGGTCCGGGACTCGAACTGCGGTTGATTACATGGGAGTCCAGCAGCATAACCATTACATTAACTGCTGGTCCCACCTCTCTTTTTTTAAATAGTATCTTTTAAAATCTAAAAGTATGGCAGCTTCATTTTATCTGGTGAGCTTCTGCCTTAAAAGTTTTCAAAATTGCAATTGCATTGAATAGGAAACAAGTCCCAACTATCAGAAACAATACCTAACTTTGACATACAACTGGCTACGTAGGCAACTTCACGATGCCTCTACCATGAAACCATACTGATTATTATTTAGTTATAATAACTTGGAAGTAGCCAAGGACAACATAAGGAAAGTAAATAAAATCAAGGAACATGCTAAAACTTGTTATCCATTTCGAAGTTCATTGATGCCGATTTTATCTTTTGTACCTCTGCTAAAAAATGAACAAAGGTTTTTGCATCTACTGTGCCATCTATTCCATTTTAAAGACTCCACATATTAAAAAAGTAGACCTTATTATAACTTTATGTCCTCTTTTCCATTACTTCCTACAACTACCTAGCTAAGTTCCTCACTGTCTTACCAGTAGTTTATGCACAGATTTGCCTACATGTTCTATGACTGTTCTTCCTCCCTAGAATGACTTTTCCCAGTGAAAAATTACTCTATCTTTCAAGAACCCAGGTTGAAGTCCTCCCTCCTCCTTAAAGCCTTTCTTCACTCAGCGGTCCTATAAATAGGGATGACAGTATATGTCAGCATTAGTAATCTGCCACATAAGCAGTATAGTCTTGAATTTTCTGCTTCTTTGTATGGAAATCAGCTAACCTAATTAGAAGTCATAAAGCCAGATAATGACACAGTTGTGAAACAGAACACTCTACAAGAAGTCCCACATTGGAAGGTTCTTGGTCCAAGTCCAGAGAACTGCCTGAGTATGCTGGGCACACACTTGCCTGTAATCCAGGACTAGCTGAAGGCTAGAGGGTATCATGGCATCTAGACTCTATTGGGGGTTCTCTCTCTCTTACTCATGGAAGAAATAAATATTTAAAGAAATAAAAAGTTTCTTTAAAGGCAGAAGCCATGTCTTACCCATCTGAATCCCACATGTACTTAAAATACTTAGCCCACCTTAAGTGCTATATCAATGCTTGATCAAATAATGAAACTAGACTCTTTTTATTTTCTCAAAAAAAAAAAAAAACCTTTCAGAGATAGGAAAAGTAGAAGTAAATGAATAAATAAAAAATTTACTAAGAGAAAAGAGAAATATTGGGTTGCTGGAAAAGCCGTGACACATTTTTGCATAGAAAAACACAAATAATGTCATGACTTTTCCAACAACCCAATACATTGTTTTCCTTTAGTTCAGATTAAAATGCTTTATTTTCTATTTGAATTTCATGTTAGTATAAGTTTACATGTCTTGTCACCTATTTACCATTGAGCAGGAAAGTGAG